CCAGGTGACCAGCAGTGTTATTGGTAACTCAGGTGCCCAACAGCACTTGATTTGATTGTGGAAGGACAATTTTTCTTAGTCCGTTTATCTTTGTGGGGTTCTCTGCCTGTTGTGTAGGCTCACACACATCATTCGAGAATATTTGCTATGAAGATTTCAACATAGAAGTCACTCAGCACTGACACTGGCATCAAAGCAGAGCCTTGCTTACTGCTGAGATGCCACTTCCCTCAATCCCCAGGGTTTGTTTGGGAAGGCTGGCAGTGGAGAGGAGCAGGAACAGGAGACAGGGGAGGGAGACTTCTCAAGGGGAGACTGGAGTGAAGAAACACTGTGTAATGCCTGAATAGCTTTCTGTTGTCTCTTGCTGTCTTGGACTCGGGCCTGGGCAGGGTTCTGAGAAGGAAGGGTATGCTTCCCTACTTTGGTCAGTTGTTGCTCTGGATAGACAGCTCTCATGTTCTGAAGGTGACATGACTCAGAAGGACTGGGTCTTTTTTACCATAATCTCAAAGACCCTGGAGTCTACCCTTGTACAGAGCTCGGATGGTTTGATAATAAGACTACATGTGTATATTTGTGTAATTAAAAACAAGGAGGATTCTTAAAGAGGCATATACCTGACATACTCATGTGTATCCCAAGAGGGAGCTCCAGATTCCAGGATTTCCATTCGGAAGGATTTACCTCTCCTGGACGGTTGTAGAACATTTTTCTCCTAATATACTTGTAGATGGTCTCTCCCCAGCTTTTTTTCTTCTCCCACCTTGTTGCTGTTGTTGTTAAGGGTTGCATTCCTCTGTCCTTAAGTTCCCCTTAGTAACACCCAGCTTGTTTGTGGGAGGAATTGGAAGGGTTTCTTCCTCCCTGTTGCTGTGGGAAAAGGGAGCCTTGACTGTCAGCATAACTGTCACTATAGCTGTGGATTGCCAAGTGATCTCCTCATCAGAAAGAGAATATGAGAGGCACAGTTTGGTCTTAGGGTGCGTATATTATCCAGGATTAATTTGGGTTTCAGACACCTGAAAACTGAAAGCAGCATGGCTCAAATATGTTGAAGTTTGTTTCTCTCACATATTAAAGGTAGACAGTATGGGGCTGGTAGGGTGACTTCATAATTTTTCAGGGAGCCTGGTTTCTTCCTTCTGCCTTACTGCTCTGCCATCCTCAGCACTTGACTTCTAGCTGGTGGTCCAAGGTGGCTACTCAAGCTCTAGCTGTCAAGTCTGCACTGTGGCTGACAGGAAGGACAAAGAAAGGCATGCTCTGCCCTTCAAAGAGACTTCCTGAGGTCTTATTTGTATGAAACTTTGCTTACCTCCCTGGAGCAAGAACTTAGTCACTTGGTCGTACCTGCCTGCAAGAGAGGCTGGTAAATGTCAGTTTTAATTCAGGTAGCCCACACTCTAGCTAAAATTTGTATTATTAAGGAAAAATGGAGGAACAGATATTAAAAGATAACTAGCAGTTTTTGCCACAGAGAGACTTTGCAGATTTGTTTCTGCTTTGGGATTAGGTGTGGATTTGCTATGTGAGTACTCCTTTCCTAGCATCATGCCCCCAGAACTTGAAGACCCTCACAGGGGACCCCTCTCCCCCCGCTCCCCACTCAGCGGTGTAGACTTCCCAGCAAGGAAATGAGATCAAGGGGGAGGGAAGGCTTGGATGTTGTAGTTATGGTAGTTTTATCTGAGCACGTGGCCTTTCAGGCCCAGCCTTGTGCTTGAGCTCTGATAGAATCTGTGGTCCTGGATGGCAATGGAATTTGAGGAGGTTTGGAGGGGTGGGGATCAGATGGTGAAATGTTTCTTGATTAGAATCAGGAGAACACTCAGGGGACCTGGCTTCTGCTGGTAGACTGTTTTTGGAGCTCTGTTCTCTGGCAGAGCTGAGAGTAAATGAAGCAAGCAAGACTCCTGGGGCAGCACTTAAGGACACACTCACTCTCAGGTTCTCCAAGTGGTCCTGAAAGTGAGTGTTTCCTTAAATTTTGTGCACCAGGCGCCCTCCTCACCTCACCCTACTCCTGGCCTTGCTCCCTGGCTGCACATTGCTTTAGATTAAGCAGTTTAATTTTTACTGAGGAAGAAGCATATGTGCATGGTAAATAATTCGGAGTATAAAATAGTATACAGTGGAAGAAGTCTCTCTCCCTCTCCAGAGCTTTGGTCTTCTTCCCCAGAGGCAACCACTGTGACAGGCTCTTTTGTATTTTTCCAACTGTCATTCAGAATGGCCTCTGCAGAGACTTCCATGAGGTGCTGCCTTCTTTTACTTATTGGCAGAGTTATGGAATTGCCACTGTGTGCAGTATTTACTCCTGTGCCAAGAGGAGCAAGCCAGGGGGAAATCTGTAGCAGGGTGGAGGGAAGGAGAAAGAGTAGAAGTGAGAGGGAGTGCCGCCATCGGAGCTGAGGATTATGTCTGCTTCTCTCCCCCATCTTGTTGCTACAAGGCAGAAGCACAGTGAGTCTAGCCAGGGCATTGTGAAATAATCTCTTCATGTGTGTGTCCATCTTTTTGTCTCCCTTTCTTTTTGTCCCTTCTCTATCTTTATCTCTGTCTCTCGTCTCTCCACCTCTGTCTTCTATGAATTTCTCTGTCTTTCTCTGCTGGTCTTTTTCTCACAAGCTGTACGCCCTCTCACTTCTGCTGCTTTTCATAGTCCTGCTTCCTTCCTCTGTTTTCTTGTGGTTTTTGTTCCTCTATTATAAGGGCCTGAATGTGACTTTGACTTGCTGTATCTCCCAACTCTGCTACTGTTTGATAGATTCAGTCTCTTGGTACCCCAGTCTTTGTTCCTGGGAAAGGCAATTGAATGGGCTTAGTTTGGGTGATCAGCCATGACAGGTGAGCAGGAGCAGGGGCCTGGAGGTTACCTCAGAATATGCTTACTGTATTGCACAGGAGTCTGTGGATTACTGTGGCTGTTAACTAGGTAATCCTTATGCTAGCTGATGTAGGCTTAGCTCCACACAGTGAGCTCTGATTAGCAGGGCAGCAGCGTGCATTCCTTTGGCCTTCCCTCCCATTTGACTGTGCTCCCACTCCTGACTGACTAGTGAGCACCTGTGTCATTTGCCAGAGTACTACTGAGTGAAATCTCTTCTTTTCAAACTTTTATTTATTTATTTGACAGAGAGAGAGAGAGAGAGAGAAAGAGAGAAAGAGGGAACACAAGCAGGGGGAGCAGCAGGCACAGGGAGAAGCAGGCTCCCCACTGGAGCAAGAAGCCTGACTCGGGGCTCGATCCCAGGACTCGGGGATCATGACCTGAGCCGAAGGCAGAAGCTTAACCAAGTTAGCCACCTAGGCTTTCCAGTGAGTGAAAGCTCTTAAAGTACCATGGAGCCTGTTCAGGCACCGTGTTTATTTCCACAGGCTCTAGGCTCTCCTCCCATTTGAGTGGAGGAATGTCAACTTTCTGACAGTTGCCTTGCTTTATGGAATTGGTGGTTAAGTGAAAGTCATCACCCTCTTGATTCCAACCAGGATTCATCATTTCCCCTCTTTGCTTGGCAGTAAGCTTAGTAAGACAATATGCTTTTGTCTGTCTCCCTCCGCTCCATAACTGTGGTCTTCTTGGGGAAGCACCACACAAATGCCCAAGGGAGGACCTTCTTGAGATAGGTGTCCACATAAGTATAGCATAGATACTAACCTGTGCTGTGAAGTGGGAGTCTGTAGAGTTCAGGGGGAGAGAGCTCAGTGAGGGGCTGGCTGGTATATTTGGGGAAGATTTTACAGGGGAAGTAGTGACTGAACTAGACCTTGAAAGTGGGAGTCACTGTTGGCTGTGGCAGCATGAGGAGTAAAGGACATTTCTTTTAAGTGTATATATGGCATCAGTAAGGAGAGAGTCTCTGGCTGAAGAGAGTGCAAAATGGGTAGGAGTAGACAGAGGTGGCTTGAAGGATGAGCCCAAAAGATTTTGCAATAATGTTTGAGGTTCTTATAAAAGTTCTGTTTTGGGGCACCTGGGTGGCTCAGTGGGTTAAAGCCTCTGCCTTCGGCTCGGGTCATGATCTCAGGGTTCTGAGATCGAGTCCCACGTTGGGATCTCTGCTTGGCGGGGAGCCTGCTTCCCTTCCCCTCTCTCTCTGCCTACCTCTCTGCCTACTTGTGATCTCTGTCTGTCAAATAAATAAATAAATAAATCTTAAAAAAAAAGTTCTGTTTTTTTGGAGGCTTAGGGCAGTACTTGGCAGTGTCATTGTGGAGGCCCTTGTATTCTGTTCTTGTGTCCTCCTAGTGGGTCAAAGCAGTCCCTGTTTAGCAGGGGTAAGGCGCTGGGACCCTCAGCACAGGGCCCAGATATCACTGTGGTCCACAAGGAACTGGAAATAAAGCCAGTAGTATAGGCAGGAGCCTGGGGAATGCTCAAGTAAGCTCGCTTCTCCATGGACCTCACTGAGAATTGGGAGGTTTGGATAGAAATGGAGGGGAATTTGGGGGAGGACCTTATAAGCTAAGGAATGATGGTTGGCCTCCCTCAGCCACAGTTTCCTCATCTATAAAACAAGAGTAAGAATGTCTTTATTTTTGGGTTATGGGAATTAATTGAGAGGATGTATGTGAAACCATCATGTATTTATATACAAAACATTATCTCTGTAATTCCTAGGTGACTTGCCACCTGCATTCAATTGATAGGCCTCTCTTGTGGCCATGGAAATATTTTGTGCCTTGGATGGTTTGGAACCTTGGGAGTTTGAGTGGGAAAAAATGGGTGAAGTCCATCGTTCCTGGGCCTGGGGGCTTTTCCCCAAAAATGATTCTGGATGTCAGAATTTATGTGTATGTGTTAATGCATGCTTTTGTATTTTGTCACCAGTGATGGGCAGATCGTGGATGCCTCTCCATTGCCTGTTCTGGTTCTGATTGATCCATTGGCCCCTTTGCTTTAGGCAGGGACAGAAGCGATGCTCTCTATAAGAAGAGATTGGATCACTGTGGCCTCAGCTCCAGCCTGCCAGTGATGTTACATTTTTTTCTTCTAGGCCTGCTGACATTTGTGAACTGTGCTTATGTCAAGTGGGGCACACGTGTTCAGGACACGTTCACTTATGCCAAGGTCCTAGCACTCATTGCCATCATTATCATGGGCCTCGTTAAACTGTGCCAGGGTAAGATGGGCCTGGGCTGGGAAGGAGGGTGGATGACTCTGGGAGTTTGCCTAGATTTCCTAAGGAGGACATGGGGAATCTTGGCTCTTTCTGTGTATATAAGTAGACTGTCAGGGAGAGCAAGACATCTGTTCCTGGGCTTCTTAGGCCAGGCTGGCTTGGCCAAACTGAACATGAGTCAGTCTCTCCCTCAGGGCTGCTTTCCCTTTGTGGAGGCTAGGAACATTGCAAGAAGGCAGCTGGGAGCCCAGGAGTTTTTGAAACCTGGATCTTGTGTAATTGGGTCATAAATGTAACTGATGGGGATAGAGTGAGCCCTGCTTGGCCCTGTTTTTGGATTGTGACTGCCAGGCAGTGAATAGAAAGACCTGGCCGTCCTTGAGAGGAGTGGGAAGGTGTGTGTGTGTGTGTGGGGGGGGGTTAAATGGAGTATAGGAATGAGTGGTTATTTTGTAGCCTTTACTCTTCATCTGGATTTGCTTTTATTTAACATTCAGTCTTAAAGTCAGCTCTCAGCAAAATATTAAAATAGTATGAAGTTGGCACTGGCTTTCCTGCATGTTGGCTTTAGAAAGCTTTTCATTCCTGAATCAGAGTAGACTGACAGTGAGGGTAGACAAGTCTCCTGAGCTCTTAGGGAAGTCTTGAGGTATCTTTGGCCAGGCAAATCTCAGTTGCTCTCTAGATTGTCTCTAAACTCAACTTTGTTTACATTTACCAGGGAGAGCTGAGACACCTCACCGCCCACCCCCCAACTCAGATCCATTGGATTAAACACACAATGGTTTTGGAGTTCAGAAAGCTCTGTTTTTAAGTGCCTTGGCAGCTGGTCCAGTACCTTTGTGCACATGTGCCAAGTTAGTACAGCCAGCCACCTCAGTGTTCTTGAGTCTCAAGATCATCTTGGGGTCAAAGAGGGTAGCTGAGTTATCCTCCTTTCAAGATCTGTGCCTTAGAAAACCATTGCTGTGTATGATGACTGGCACACCTGGGGCACGAAAACCTCTATTTTCCCTTCTCCTGCTGCCTACCCAGCCCTTTTGGACACATTGAAGGAACAGTTCTACTTTTTGCAGGGGGTAATGGCAGGCTTCCTTATAAGTCTGGATCTTGTTAAAAACCTCCAGGGTGTTCAGAAGGTAGCACCTGCCTGCTACTCCCTTGGCTTTCAAATGTGTGGTCTCCAGAGGCCTCTAAGGAGAATGACAGGTGCCTAGGCTGGCTCTCCAAGAGCGGAAGTGGCTCAGGCCTACCCCAAGCATAGTGAGGACCCCAGTTCTTACATAGCCTGTGATTTCCTGCCACAGGCAACAAGTAGAGCAACAGAGTTCTCTTCTGAGAACAAGAAAACTGTGTGACCAAATTGTGTAGTGGTTTTGGCCACAACAGACAGTTCCACAGGAAGGCCTAATTATTAATTAAAAGTGCCTTCTTTATGTGAAACAGGGTTCTTTCTAAAAATAGGAAGAAGAGCTCTGGCCTACTGTGAGGTCACTTGGAACTACATTAGAGCTTTTCTGGAAAAGGCGTTATCATTTCAGAAGGCAGCCAGGAATGTCTTTGTTTTTCTGAGATTGCGTAGTTGTGCTAGAGGAATATGCAGTTTCTTGAGGGAATGGGTGGGGTGATAAAGTATAGGGAGAGCTGGTGGTTGTTCTTTGAATATTAAATTATGTTTTTTTTTTTCTTCCCTCTGCCTGCTTGCTTTTCCCTTCTTTTCTTGACCCTTTTCTCTTTTTCCCCATCTTCGCTTCCTCTTTCTTACTGCTTCTCCCTGTTCTTTCTCTTCTGCTCATACGTTCTAACTCTCCTCTCCTTCTTCCTCTTCCTTCCCACTGAACCCCTTCCCCTGCCTTTGTCCCCACAGGACACTCTGAGCACTTTCAGGATGCCTTTGAGGGTTCCTCCTGGGACATGGGAGACCTCTCTCTCGCCCTCTACTCTGCCCTCTTCTCTTACTCAGGTTGGGACACCCTTAATTTTGTAACCGAAGAAATCAAAAACCCAGAAAGGTAACGGTGGGATCACACTCTCACTCCCCAACTTGGCTGGAACTCCTGCTGATAGAGTGGGCACACTTGCTCTCTTCCCTCCCCTTTCTCTTTCTCTCATCCCTTCTTCTCCCTACTCCTCCTTCTCTAGCTCAGAGAGATTAGGGGCTAGGTTGAGGATGAGAGAAGGTGGGAAAGCCTCTTCACCCTTGGGTTTACACTGGAGGATCCGCAAGGTTTTGCTCCAGGAGAGATCCTCCAGTGGGCAGTAGCTCACCCAGCTGGGGCTAAGGTGTTAGAACCTCATACTCTGGTGCTGACACTGAAGCCTGGGGAGCTGGAAGCTTATTCTGGGCCGTCAGCCTCCCAGCCTGGCCTCCAGTCCCTGGAGGACACTGCTCCTCTTTCCGTGGGACCGATTGGTCCTTTTGTGGCAAGGATCAAATATTGAGCCCCAGCTATCTTCACAGAGAGGGGTCGGTCTCTCTCTCTCTGTTTCTCAGCAGAAAGGAGCATGGGATTCATACCCACCCTGACCATGTGGGAAAGAGGAGCCTGCCTCAAAGACTTAGAGCCAGGGAACTATTAAAAATCCCTGGGTGAACCTTGACTCCAAGGAGAGTTGATTCTAGGTAGTCCTATCTCACTTCTCCTGACAGAAATTTGCCCCTGGCCATTGGGATTTCTATGCCAATTGTGACGCTCATCTATATCCTAACCAACGTGGCCTATTACACAGTGCTGAGCATTTCAGATGTCCTTGACAGTGATGCTGTGGCTGTGGTGAGTCTCCATTTGCTTGTCATCTTATGATACTGAATGGTTCAATCTCTTTCTGAAGCCCCTCCAGCTCTGCAGGGTGAGATGATGGATCTAGGACAGAGGGTGGGCTGCTCGGCAGTGACGGTGTTTGTCCTGACATAGCATAGGTACAGGAGGCTTATGAAACACTGTCCTGTGCTGAGTGACTTCTGTGCTCTGTCCCCAGACATTTGCTGACCAGACATTTGGCTTGTTCAGCTGGACCATTCCCATTGCTGTTGCCCTATCCTGCTTTGGGGGCCTCAATGCATCTATCTTTGCTTCATCAAGGTAATGTGTTCTTGCTTTACCAATAACAGACTGCAGTAGTTAATCTTCTGAGGCTCTAGGTGAGCCCGTAAGAGCCCTTCTTTCCCTTCTTTCTCTTGGATGTACAGGGTGTGTGTGTGTGTGTGTGTGTGTGTGTGTGTGTGTGTACACTTGAGTGCGCGCATATGCTGGCCTTTGTGCAGACATCTGTATGCTTGAAGCTCACAGTTCCATCTGAGGTGATGACAGATTGGTTAGAGGTAGAGGGGAGCAAGGTTATAGCTTGGTGTAGATAAGAATATTAGTGATCACTTGTTGTGGACCAGGTATTGCTACAGGGTGACTCTGCCCCTCACTTCACAGAAGTCACTGAAGCTGACAGGTAGGCTCTGTTCTCCTCTCTGTGTAGAGACTTATCTATAAGAGCATTTGTCCTTCCTGTTGTTTCAGAGAAAGGAACAGTTCTGCTTTTCCAGGCTGACTGTGCTACCTGGTTTCGGGGCCCCAGCACTACCCCCTCTTAGCACTTTGCTTCATCACTTGGCTCTTCTCTTTGGCAGATGTTCAGTAGGAGCCCGCTCTGCACAAGCTTCTCTCATCTCCGCTTAGTGAAATCACAAAACAGCTTTTCTCATCTCCTTCCTTACTGGACACACTTCTGGAAGGAATGGACTGCATTTTGACTGTCACTCATTTTTCTAGCCATTATACTTTGACTTCTACTACCTAAAAAATATTATTAAGTGGACCTATGACCTCCTTCTTAGCCTGCTTTTAGTCCTTATCCTATTGGATCCCTGAAGCAAGTGATGCTTATGGCCCTCTACTTCTGAAACTATTCCTGTGATATTGTGACACTCTGATATTTGAGAGGAAGGCTTCTTTTCTGATTTCTCTTTCACTCACCATATAAATGTTGCTGTCCCTAGGGCTGGGACATAGTAGGCATTCAATAAATATTTTCTACATGAACAGGTAAGAGGATGAATTAATAAAAGAAATAATTTTTGTCCTATTTATTCTTCTTACTGGTTTTGACACCACAGTTCATGTACTTGGGGCCTCCCTAGGGTAACCAGAGTAATAGATCAAAGTCTTGGAAAACAGTGTGGTGTCGTCTTCCCTTACTTCAACCTGGTATGGCTAAGGTTGCACTTGATGTGACTCTTTTTTTTTTTTTAAAGATTGTATTTACTTACTTGACAGGGAGAGAGACCACAAGTAGGCAGAGAGGCAGGCAGAGATAGAGATAGGGAAGCCGGCTCCCCGTTGAACGGAGAGCCTGATGTGGGGCTCGATCCCAGGACCCTGAGATCATGACCCGAGCCGAAGGCAGAGGCTCGACCCACTGAGCCACCCAGGTGCCCCGGATGTGACTCTTCATAAGTTACTGCGCGCAAAGATGGTGTTTCCCATAGACTGACCCTGTTGATTCCCAAGACATTCCAGCTGGCTCTGTCATCTGGCTCTGTCTTCTTAAAATACTTGCACGATAGGTGCTTTTTAACCTCACTCAGCTCTATTGTGGTATTGACAGGGTGGCAGTGGGGATAGGGGATTCTGAGAGTAAGAGTCTGGACCAGCAAGTAAGGGGACTACGGTGATGTAGAGGTAATGCACAATCGTTTGTTAACTTCTCACTTTTTATTACCTATGTAGTTATCTCTGGCTTTATACTAGACACTTTTGCTGCACCCGCACACAGTCCCCTTCCAGCATCCCCTCTACCGTATTTCTTCTCTGCCCAGTACAGGTTATTAACCTGTGTGGGCCAACTCCTACTATCTTGCCCTGTGACCTTTCCAGATGGTCTCATCAACTCCTGTGGCTCCATCTGGGTGGCTCACAAGTATCTCAGTGCCCTCCACTTGTGCTTTGTCTTTAGCTGTGATGCTGTGTGCTATCAGTTCTCCTTGCTTGGCCTCTTTATTTTTCCCTTGGTGTTCACCCTCTTCCAGCTCCAACATGTACATGCATGCGCACACAAACATATATACACATGTACATGCAAAGGATCACCAGATTTGATTGAGGTGGTCACATCTGTCTTGTTTTCTCTTCAGCCAGGGTGTCTACCCTCATTCAGGCCTCCTCTCTTATGGGACAGTTATCACAGATAAACTTTTTTTTAGATTTACTTATTTGAGAGGTAGGGGGAGGGGCAGAAGGCTAGAGTCCCAAGGAGACTGTGCTGAGCACGAAGTATGACAGGGGGCTGGAGCCCCTGACCCTGAGATCATGACCTGAGCCCAGATCAGGAGTTGGGAGGCTTAAATGACTATGCCACCCAGGCACCCCACAGATTACTTTCTTATCTGGCCTCCTCCCTGTCCGCTAGTCTCTCCCTGCTTTAGTTGGCCTCCATGATGCCACCAGAGTCTCTGCCAAATGCTGTCAAGCCTTTACTTCAGAGCCATAGCAGACTCTCATTGTTTGTTCAGACTCCACAGCGTGGCCTCAGCTGCAGGGTCTTCTCAGCTGTTTCGTCACACACCTTAACCTGGGACTGCAGGCATTCTAGTACCAACCTCAAGGAGGTCACCCTCTTTCACTCCTTCATGCCTCTTTTGCTCTTGCCTACGCTGTTTTCCACCCATCTGCTCACCTTCTGGCAAACTCTAGTTCTTCCCAGCCCAGATGTGGTCATCTCTTGTGAAGTTTTTTGTTCCCCCAGCTCACCCCCAGGCTGGTGAGTGCTTTATGCTCCATGATGATGCTGTCTACACTGGATGGTAGTTCCTTTCTCTCTTGCTCTATTTCTCAAACAGTAGGGCTCTTTGGGGACAGAGAGGAAGCCTGGGTTGTCTCTGAGGCCCAGGCTTGTCCTGGCCTATCCTGTATCAGGAGCTCAGGGAAGATATACAGAGAGCACAGAAGGCTTGCTGCCCTTCTTTAAAAAACCATTGTGTAAAGTATGAAATCTGTGAGGTGGTAGAGTGGGGGTACCCCTGATGGAATGTATTGGGGTAGCAGTGAGTGTTGGCAAGGTGAGGCATCCACTGGGTGATGGTGGGTTTCATGGCTGAGGGGCTCAGGGGTGTCCATGGCCAAGAGAGAGGTAGGACATTCTTAGTTAACACTGGAAGTACCCATGGTTGGAGGTTGGAGACATCTATGGGTAAAAGTTGAGGGGTGAGGGTGGGGGTTGGGCATGCATACAGTACATGGGATACTCCTCTGAGAGGACTGCCTCCTGTGTTTTTGTGGAGTTCTGAGCCTAGTTTGTCAAGTGAGGAGTGTGGCTACATGGCCTAGTGAAAGGATCATCCTGACACACTTCTTATCCTTCTAGGTTGTTCTTCGTGGGCTCCCGTGAGGGCCACCTCCCAGACGTTCTGTCCATGATCCACATTGAGCGTTTTACACCCATCCCTGCTTTACTGTTCAATGTAAGCTCTGCTGGGGGAGTGTGGAGAACTGTGGTACTCTTGCTGACTTTATGAGATGACTGTGAGTAGGAGGTATACTAGCTTCTTAAGGTATTTCCCAAGACACTCGGTGTTTCTAAAAATATAAAACATATGAGAGAAGGCAAATGGTACAAAAGAATATAAAAATAAATTTGTAAAATTTATTTTTTTATTTTTGAAAGATTTTATTTATTTGTTTATTTAGAGAGTGTGAACAGGGGGAGGGGCAGTGAGAGAGAGAATCCCAAGCAGACCCTATACTGAGTACAGAGCCCGATATAGAGCTTGATCTCGTCCCTAAGATCATGACTGAGCCAAAATCAAGAGTTGAATGCTTAACTGATGGAGCCACCCAGGCATCCCTGAATTTTTCTTAACTAGGCTCCAGGCCCTACATGGGGCTTGAACTCATGACCCTGATATTAAGAGTCCTGTGTTCCCCTGACTGAGCCAGCTAGGTGTCCCTCCTTTTTTTTTTTTTTTTTTTTGTTAATTTTAATTAAATCATTTTTATTAAATTAAAGATTTTACTTAACAGAGGGAGAGATTTTATTTGACAGAGAGAGAGAGAGATCCAAGTAGGCAGAGAGGGGGGAAGCAGGCTCCCTGCTAGCAGAGAGCCCGACGCAGGGCTCGATCCCAGGACCCCTGAGATCATGACCTGAGTCAAAGGCAGAGGTTTAACCCACTGAGCCACCCAGGTGCCCCTTTAATTAAATCATTTTTAAAAAGCCAAGCCAGTTGTATACCAACTACCCAGGGACTTCTTTTCATATTAATAGACTTTATATAGATTTCTTTTTAAAAAGATTTTATTTTTAAGTAATCTCTACACACAAAATGGGGCTTGAACTCACAACCCTGAGATCAAGAGTCACATGCTCCACTGAGGAGACAGCCAGGTGCCCCTACATATGATAGATTTATATATAGTAGATAGTGCTTTATATATGCCAAGTATAATTATATACCCCTTACATAGTTATCATCAGCTCAACCCTTCCTATCAGTGTCAAGTTTCATTATTTAGCTTTGTACTGAATTTCTGAAATTTAAAGAGGGACTGATGATACTTCATTAGTTTCTTCTTGCCCCTGGAATTTTCCTGGCAATTATCCCATGTTTGTGTTTGTCCTTATGAACTTTGTTATTTTGTCAAAAGAACAAAAATCCTCTCAGTATATTGATTGGAATCACATTGAATTTATAAATTTAGGGGAGGTCTGACATCTTGTCTTTTAATCGTCTTCTGCCCCTGTTTTTATAATACAGTCCCTCTTCTTTCCCCACAATGGGTCCTTTTTGTTTTAAATCCTTTGTTGGTAATCTGGGTGAAAAGACTAGGTGGGGAGAACTCCATATTCTTGAAGATTAAGTAAATCTGACCATGTCACAGGACTGCAGTCCCGGATTTGTCTTCTAGGACTCTTGTTCCGGAGGGCAAATTCTGTCATACCTGTCTTATCAGGGGTATAGATCCATTTTGTCAATCTGCATTTCAAAGACCCCAGGACAGTGAGATGGTTCTGGAGGCATTTATTCTGTTTGTATGCCAGGTAGTTTAGACTCGGGAGTAATGGTATCCAGATGGCAATGTGGTTCATATTGAGGTTGGTGCATCAAAGTGAGGAGGACCTCACTCTGCCATCAGAAGGGGAAAGGAGTCTGGCTTATTAAAGTGCTTGCAAAAAGAAGGGAGGCATTGTGTATAGGAAGAGCCCTCAATAGGAGAGGGAGAGATGCCACTCTGAAGGTTAATACAGAAGGTAGACCTATCTGATGCCAAGGGGTCACTGAGAATAACTGGAGGTAACCTGGTAAGCTAAATCAGCAGTGAGCAGCAGACCTGGTACTGATTGCTGGGTGGTTGGAGTATCCTGGGATGGCCTGGTGGTGACAATGCCCACTCCTCCTTCCATCCCCTCCCCCTCCAGTGTACCATGACACTTATCTACCTCACTGTGGAAGATGTTTTCCTGCTCATCAACTACTTCAGCTTTAGCTATTGGTTCTTTGTGGGCCTGTCTGTTGCTGGACAGCTCTATCTTCGCTGGAAGGAGCCCGAGCGACCCCGGCCTCTCAAGGTCAGTGACTCTGGACAGGCTGGGGGGGTGGGCCATCTCCCCAAAGTGACTTCTCTGTACCCTGTTCCCCATAGCACTTTACCTAATATCTCACCTCCCTCCATTTCAGCTGAGCCTGTTTTTTCCCATCGTGTTCTGCATATGCTCCTTGTTTCTGGTGATTGTGCCGCTGTACAGTGACACCATCAATTCCCTCATTGGCATCGGGATTGCCCTCTCTGGGATTCCTGTCTACTTCGTGGGTGTTTACTTGCCCGAGTCCCAGAGGCCAGTCCTTATTCGGAATGTCCTGGGTGAGCTTCTTTGCCCATTACTCAGGGCGTGTGTGTGTGTGTGTGTGTGTGTGTGTGTGTGTGTGCGCGCGCGCGCGGCAGGTGGGAGGGAACCACAGATATGCTTTAATCAACTTTGGGGTGTTCATATTGAAGTTGTAGCTGTCAGCTTGCTGAATTCTGTTCTCTATTTTCATTTAGCTGCTGTCACCAGAGTCACCCAGCAGCTTTGCTTTTGTGTCCTGACTGAGCTTGATGTAGCAGAAGAGAAAAAGGTTGAGAGGAAAACGGACTAGAGGCCAGATGTGATGTTCCTTGAGGCCTGGAAGGCCAGCCACCAAAGTCCAGATGACAAGACTGCAGGCCTAACCCTCTTGTCCTAAAGGAGTCTGGTGGCCCACATTATATAAGGGGGACTCAGGGCTGATGGCCTGCTCTGGCGGTCACTCTCATTGGTAAGCTGTGGGAGGAGACTCAGGGTCCAAGGCCAGCTTGAAGGTGGGAACTTTACATAGAGGGTGGTGGTGGGGAGGGCTTGGTCAGGGGAATAGTTCAGTTTTATTCCTGGTTGAGTCGGTATAGCTTACCAAACACTTAGGCAACTGCACTGAGGGAAGAGGGAGTGCTAGGTTAATAGATGTGGTTGGTGGTTCGGAATTTGTTATTTGAGGTTTGAATCAGGAGCCTCTACAAAGGGGCTGCTTTATGGGAAGGTTTCCTCTGATCAGGTCCAAACACCTGACTCTAGAGGCCTAAAATGCTACCATTTCTTCCTCTGACTCAAGATCTTTCCCTAGGAAGACAGCTGTATTTCATTATTTATTGACATTATTTAGTCCAGGACACCAGTTCTGACAGAGCACTGGTGTTCATTCATCTTCAGGATGCAATAAGCTGACTGTGTTTAAAAACTCAAAATACTCCCAACCGAGTCCCTCTGCCCTTAGAGGTGTCTCTGTGTTCTGGTATGGGTCAGCCTCTGACCACAGATTATTTTGCTTGGTTTTAGCACAGTCTTCTGTTGAGTCTTAGCTGCAAAAATGAACTTTAAAGATTTTTTTTTTTACTCGTGTATTGGTTACATTTTAGTCAGTAGGTCACAGATTATATAAGCACCTGGCTCAAATCAGCAAGGACAAATGAAAAAATTCATGAGTCAGAAGTCTGAAATACTGCTATTTTGAAGGATAATCCCTTATTTTACTTGAGACCTCAGGTCTTTATTCTAGATGATAGAAGGTAAACCTCCGGTTCCTGGTATGACCTTTAGGAGGACATAAACTGTTTTAGAATTCAAGTGGATTACCTGAATTCTCTCAGCCGTCAATGGTTTAGAGAACATCTCATGGACTCAAGCCACCAAATAGCTTGTTTCTGTCTATAAGGGCTGGTGTGAGGGACTGCTGTGCAGACCCACGCAAGCCCACCTTGGTGCTAGAAGTGGTCATTGCCCTTTTCCGAAAACCTCACACCAGACTGCATCCTCCTCTTCTGTCCCCGGCACTGAGCTTTGTTTACACTCCGAACTGTCTTGGTGTGGATCATCAGGATAGTGCATTCCTGTCCTGTCTGCCTCCCCTTGCTGGAGGCCTGGTGGGCCTGCAGTCTCAGGAAGAGCTTGGTACTTGTGTGGACTTCTATTTTCTCCTTGTGGAGATCAGAGAAGACTTTGGGGGACAAAGCTGCTTCAACCTCAATCTGGCTTCTCAGCAGACTGCATGATTGGAAGCAACTAATTCTGGTGCTCAGGGTGTGCTTTTAGCATCCAGGTCAGGCCAGAGTAGGCTTGGCCTCATGGATGTTCCCTCATGGGCAGCCACGGTTGCAGTGGACTGTACAGCTGTCCTGTGATGCTTCCAGACACTGTCATCCTGGGTCCAGAGGAACCTGCTGACTTGGCTAACTCCATGCCTGGACATCTTATCCTTTCATTTTAGAACTGGTCACTGGTAAAGACAAGAACTATGAGGCAATCTCTCTTTCTGACCATCCTTTTCTATCAGGTGGCCTCAGTTGCAGCCAGGGGAGTAACCTTGGCCTACTTGTTTAATAAAGACAATTTAGGGGAGCCATGGGCACAGCTGCCTTCGGTTTAGGGCATGCATGGATGAGAAAATGAGGGGACATTCCTACTGTCATGGGTTGGGGATTTGCACAGCAAATTCCTTTCTGGCAACAGGGAGTCTTATGCAAAGGCTGACTTGCCTAGAGTACGTAAACATGACTCCTGTCTGAGGCAAGATGGCACCTATCCCAGGGATCCTCTGGAGCTAATCCTTTAAGCAGAGTGTGCTTGTCTTAAGGATCCCTGACCCATGTTTTCGCTTTCTCCCCTGAAGTAAATGACCAGCTAATCCCAGGAACTTGCTGCCCTCAGTGGCTCCTGGGGGAAGCATGGGCCTCACACCCTAAGTGCCCCAGCACAAGCTTAGTGAGCCATGTCAGCCCCCTCTCATTATTGGATGGCAACTGCATTCTTCCCCTCTGTGCTGGATAGACTTCACCCAGGAACCCTTCTGTGGGAGGGAAGCCAGAGACTCCCCACAGCAGTCAAGCTTCATGGTGGAATTAAATTTCTGCAAGGTCTTTGTTGTTCGTTTCCTTCAATCCTTCTCCTGGTGTGCTAATCTCTTTTGCAGTAGGTACAGTATGAGATTGTCAGCCCTTTGATGTTGGCAAACCTTAATGAGTACATAAACAGCAGTGAGCACGTTATAATGGCACGGAGTGGTTTTTAATCCTTTGTTTCTATGCCTACAGGAGACTGAGACGACTAGTGTTATACATATAACTTGCTGCCTGTTGCTTGCAACACTGAATTGTACCTTTGTGGAGAGTTAGGATGGTAAATCAATAGTTTGTTGGTTTTCTAGCCACAAGAGTAGAGCCTAAATATGTGAACACACAGAATTTAACCCCTTAAGATGGTTTAACGTGAATAGGAACTAATGTAGGTGAAGACCCTCAAAATGAATACATAGTGAAGAATGGGAAGGCAGGATGGAAGAATATGAAATCTTAAAAGGTGTGGGAAGAAGACATAACCCCGTGTACATGATAGTGAGTCTGTGGCACGTGGCAAGAAAGCACATTTTGAATCAAAGGTTCTGTGTATTGTTTTCCCAGACCTGTGCTGTCCAGTATAGTAACTACTAGCCACATGTAGCTAGTTTAAATAAAAAATCTGATTCCTCAGGTGAACTTCTCAAGAGCTGAGCCACATGTGGCTAGTAGCTACTAATACACAGCGTAGATATAGAACATATCCATCTTTGCACAAGGTTCTATGGGACAATGTTACATTAGAAGAATAAATGCCAACTCAGAGTTAAGAGGTTTGTGGTATGCAAAGAAGTAGGGTCAGGTTTTCCTTATAGGCAACCTAAGTTTTGGTAATAGAATTGGTCACTGTTTTTGGTGAGTGCTGTGAATAGCTGACCTTTCTCATTGGAAAGCTAAGTTTAGGATATGTTTACCTTTTCCTCACTTGCCTGAAGTCCTAAGTGTCTAAGGTCAATCCTGAAACCTGTCTCACTAACCCCCCCCACCCCATTTTTGGTGGAGGGTGGGGATGGGAGAGAGTGAGTACAGTGGGAAAACATGTAAAAACATTGAGATCTGGGGCACCTGGGTGGCTCAGTCAGTTAAGTGTCTGCTTTCGGCTTAGGGTCCTGGGATCGAGCCCTGCATCAGGCTCCCTGCTCAGGGGAAAGCCAGCTTCTCCCTCTCCCTCTGCTCCACCCCACCCCCCATGCTCTCTCTCAAATAAATAAAATCTTAAAAAACAAAACAAAATCAAACCCTGGGGCAAATAATACACTATATGTTAATTTAAAAAAAGACTCAGATTTAAAGGGTTTTTAAGTAGGGGCACCTGGGTGGCTCAGTGGGGTAGGTGGCCAACTGAGCTGATTTCAGCTCAGGTCATAGTTTCGAGGTCCCGGAATCACTCCTCTGCATCCTCCCTCTCCCCACCCCCGACGTTGGGAGGGTCTCTTGAGGATCCATCTCTCCCTGTGCCCCTTCCTCCAGCTTGTGTTCTCTCTCAGATAAATAAATCTTTAAAAAAGGAAAAAAAAAAAAAGGTTTTCAAGGAATTTTCTTGCTCCCTTTAATTTTTACTAAACACAGAGTATCATATTCATACATCCTGTTCTCCCTGGCACCATTGCCAAAGGAAGACAGCAGTCTCTACAACCATTATCTGAGTCAGGAAGCAGGGCGGTGGAGACAGCTAATAACTTAAAACTTCTCAGAGCTCAGGCAGAGTCTACTTCCCTCTCTAACAGCCACCGCTATCCTGTTGGTGCTGCTATTAGGGACCCAATGTAGCCCTTCTGGATTCTATCAAAAGAACCGGCTTTTAGTAGAGGCAGTGGCCTGGTGGTATGGGAAAGCTAAAGCTTAGTGCTGAGGAAACAGGAGTTTCTCTTTCACTTATTGGCTTTAGCATATTTAGGAGGAGAACGGGAAAATCCCCAGGCCAGGAAGCTTCACTTTTATGGCATTTATTCCCCCTAGACTGTAGAGCTCATTTTTGATTGAGGTAAAGGGGCCCTACTGTTATTAAAAAAGACAAATTCCTTTAGCTCAAGTTTCCACTGACAGGATGGCGCTGCTGGACATGCTTTTTCCTTTTGTGTTAAGCTACAAAACCCAGGGATGTTACCAGGGTGGCTGAAGCTGCAGGCAGAGACCTCAGGGCACATGACTGAACTTCACAGGTATCACAGGAACATCAGTCTGAATCCAGGTCATGGGGGCTGTCATAGCCAAACTCCTTCTGCACATCCAAAGGGTATTTGCTCCACATCTGTGGTCTGCTGTTGCCTCTTTCCTCTTCACTGAGGCTGTCATAATCATCTGAGCCTAGAATGGTAAAAGGAATGGCCTCTGTTTGAGTTTCTAGTAACTCTGTAACTGTAACTCTTTCCCATCTCAAGAAGGTCTGTTTTTTGGGTCATATTTTGTTGTTGTTCTCCCTTCTAAAATACTTGCTCAGTAAAGAGAATTTAGGGCAGTAAAAAAAGGCAATCCTGTTCTACCACCTAAACCAAATCCCTTAACACTGGAGTAGTTTTTCATTTCTCCCCTAGGTATAGGATTTCTTTTTGTTACTATAGTTGTAGTCATATTATAAACATAATTTCACGTTTGTCCCTATCCTTTTGACATATCACAGGTACTTCCCCAGTAGAATATTCATAGTTTAATTAATTGTCCCTCCATTAACAGACACCAAGGAATCTTTTTGTTGGCACAAAGAACATAATCCCTGAAGGAACTGTATCATCAGAATATCTTTCCTTCCTCTTTCCCCCAGGTACCATATCTCTGTGGCATCTTTCTCAAAACGTAAACACAGCAACTTCTTGAGAAGTTAGATAACTGATTTGTTAAAATCCTAGCCCTACTCTGACTGGCAAACCTCTCCAATACCTTCCTGACTGAAGCAGGAGTACAGACACTGAGCTGAGATGTTTCCCTTAATCCCAATCACTGGTTAGTGCAATACTCTTGTTTTCTGGAGAGAGGATGAGGTGAAGTAACTTCCCCAAGATGTACAGACATGCAATGACAGACTAAGGATTTGAACCTGGGCCTGACTGACATTAAAACCCCAGCAGGTCCTTTGGAAACACCAGTTCTTGGGGCTCCTATTATAGCTCCAACAGCTTGTGGTTGAGCTGTTGGGAGTTCAACAGCAGAGAAGGAAAGCCAGGTAAGTTGCACAGTTAAGATGGTAACTATGCTCACACCTCAGTCTTGGATCCCACCGGTCCCTTCCCATCCAAGGCTGCCACCCCCGTACCTCTGGATTCCTCTCCGTCCGTGTTCTCCTCCTCTGGATACTCATTGCGCCAGTTATTCTCACTGTTCTCATCATCGTCATCTTCATAAATATCTTCTGGTTCCTGGTCATCATTCACCTGCACATCTCAACACAAACCTGAGTATAAGTCAAAACTTCTAAGGTTGTGCTGTGGGGGAAGCTATTAGCAGACCACCTTGGAAAAATCACTTAAGAGCACTGTCTGGGAAAGAGGCAGCCTAGGAGCTGGTCTGAGTCTGCTACACAAGAGGCTGTAGTAACCTTGGGCTACAAGGTAGAGATGGCAGGCCTACTCCCCCCTCAGAGTCTAGCTCCAGCCATCACACTCCTAGCAGGATAGGATGACCTCCAGAGGCATATACACCATGGTGGGGAGGAGAGACAGCTCTGAGTAGGTGTTGGCAGTGATCTTTAAGTGGACAGTCAGGTGGGAGAGAGATCATATGGATTATGGGTGATGCCCAAAATCAGAACCAAAACTCAAGTGTGAGGTGTGCAGGAAGAGAGGCTATGCAATGGTCCAAGGTGGGTGCCTAACTGAGAGGCTATGGTTGCAATGCAGGTATGGGATAAGGAGCCTTGCCTCATTTTAGAATTTGTTTTATTTTTTTTCAATTTAATTTTTTTTTTTTTAAGATTTTATTTATTTATTTGACAGAGAGAGAGATCACAGGTAGGCAGAGAGTCAGGCAGAGAGAGAAGGGGAAGCAGATTCCCTGCTGAGCAGAGAGCCCGATGCGGGGCTCGAACCCAGGACACTGAGATCATGACCTGAGCCGAAGGCAGCGGCTTAATCCACTGAGCCACCCAGGTGCCTCTAGAATTTGTTTTAATAATGATGTCAAGGGGTGCTTGGCTGGCTCAGTCAATAGAGCTGCAACTCTTGATCTCAGGGTTGTGAGTTCAAGTCCCATATTGGGTATAGAGATTGCTTTAAAAAAAAAAAAAAAGATGTCAGGATGTTAGTTTTCTTAATCCAAGGTTTCTTCCCTTTTAAGATCCAGTTTAAAAAAAAAAAAGGTTTTATTCCCATTCATGTTAAGAATTTCTGGTTTATTTTGTCTTTATTTTAAGTCCCTATATGGGAAATATATTTTCCCCTGAAGTGGATGTTATAAATGATAAAAGTGATGTTGCAAACCTTGTAAAAGATCTACTAAGAGCAAAAATTATCAGTGTAGACTGTCATTCTCAAAATTCCCGGCACTAAACCCAGGTTCCTAAAGGCATTCAGAATAAATTTTTCCATTTAAACAAGGACAAGAGTTAAGAGACAACGTTGGAACACAGGAATACAGGTAATGTGGAACACAAGCAAAGCACCCAGACCAGAGAACTGCTTAGGCTACTTCATGCCCCTCATCCTGACATGGGCCCTCTTACCAGCTCCCACTCCTGGCAATAGGGCTGCACAGAGAGGATGTTCTCAATCCATCCTGGAGTGGCCATCTCCAAGTAGTAAATATCATACACATAGTCATCTTTCTGTTCCTCCTGGTGCCCGATTCTTGGTCCATCCTCAGACAGAGTCAACCGTTCACGGATCAACTGTACGGAATTGCAGAGGATCACATCTGGGTCAGATGTCTGTAAAGAAATCAAGATATGATACATACATGATCTAAAACATGGATGTTCCAAAAGGAGGAATCTAAGAGTTGAGTGAAGGAAGTCTCTCTACAGTTGTCTATGTTAGATTCAAGACTCTTATCCCTATGTCCTATTAGTCTATTAGCTATGAAATTTAAAAATCAGCTATTTCTAAAATAATTGTTTAGTTTTTCTTTGGGAGACTTAAAAGATAGTTTTCTGCTCTTTGTGCTTGACACACATAAGAGAGCACACAGAAAGACTGGCCTGAGAAGATTTCCCCTTAGGGATGTACAGGCCCACAGGAGCACTTCTATGGTTGTTCTGCAAATGCCTCTGCATTTTGTGTGACCTCCCATAGGGGTCTAAAGGCGATTCCTGAGCTCTGATGACTACTACCACCTGGGTTGCCCACGATGATGTCTATACCTGGGGGTAAGATGACTAGATAAAGTAAAATGAACTTTTTTCACTTTTTTTTAAAAATATTTTATTTATTTATTTGACAGACAGAGATTACAAGTAGACAGAAAGGTAGGCAGAGAGAGAGAAGGGGAAGCAGGCTCCCTGCTGAACAGAGAGCCCCATGTGGGCTCCATCCCAGGACCGCAGGATCATGACCTGAGCTGAAGGCAGAGGCTTTAACCCACTGAGCCACCCAGGTGCCCCACGTTTTTTTTTTTTTTTTAGATAAAATAGTACTTTATTTGCTTAAAATTTAAATGGCATCAAATTAATGAGAAATGTACTAGGTGATGGACATTGGGGAGGGTATGTGTTGTAATGAGCGCTGGTTATTATGTAAGACTGATGAATCACAGACTTGTATCCCTGAAACAAACATTATATGTTAATTAAATTTAAATTTAAAAAATAAAAAAAATTAACGAGAGCTGTAACGTGGTAAATAAATGCTGTCACTGGGGCACCTGGGTGGCTCAGTCGGTTAAGCATCTGCTTTCTGCTCAGGTCATGATCCCAGGGGTCCTGGGATTGAATCCTGCATTGGGCTTCCTGCTCAGTGGGGAGCCCGCTTCCCCCTCTCTGTCTGTGGTTTCCACTGCTTATGCGTGCTCTCTCTCTCTCTCTGTCAAATAAATAAAATCTTTTAAAAAAATTAACGAGAACTATAACATGGTAAATAAATGCTGTCACTGGGGCGCCTGGGTGACTCAGTCATTGGGCATCTGCCTGTGGCTCAGGTCATGATCCCAGGGTCCTGGGATCGAGCCCTGCATCAGGTTCCCTGCTCAGCAGGGAATCTGCTTCTCCCTCTCCCACTCCCCTGCTTGTGTTCCCTCTAGCCCGCTGTGTCTCTGTCAAATAAATGGGTAAAATCTTTAAAATGCTGTCACTATTTTAAAATTTCTTTAGATGTTTGGATGCCTTTGGAATCCAAACAATAAAAATAAATTTAAGTAGTTTTAAGATAGGCCCCAAACTATTTTTAGGATTTCTGATATGTAAAGCCATGCTTCATGTTTTCCAGAAGCCTCACATCAATTTTAAGCACTATAGTTGTGTTACCATTTTAATCATGGCCTTGCCAGAGTGCTATCAACAACTTTTCCCTTGATAGTCTAGTAGGCATAAAACCCCAAATTTGCTTTCAGCTTAAATCCATTTTTAAAAAATAATTATTGAGAGCAAACATTTTTTTAAAAATCTGCAATTAAGTCTACAGTTGTGTTTCTGAATAGCTGTTTAAAAGACAATCCTGAAAAAAAAAAAAAAGACAAGAACTTAGTCTGGCTTCATAAAGAATTCACAAGCAAAGTTGGCTACTATGTCCTATCACACTGAATTTTAAAAGCATCTGACCTTATAGATCATCTATACAATGTAAGAAGTGTTAAGTATTCTTTATTTAATATTATACATAAACCACACTAAAATACCTTTCATTAGGCAAAAGGCAACATTTTATTTTATTTTAAAGATTTATTTTGACAGAGAAAGAGAGAGAGATCACAAGTAGGCAGAGGCAAGCAGAGGCGGGGGAAGCAGTCTCCCCGCTAAGCAGAGAGCCCAATGTGGGGCTTGATCCCAGGATCCTGAGATCATGACCTGCTGAAGGCAATCACTTGCTTAACTGACTGAGACACCCGAAAGTCCCAAGGCAACATTTGAGATGCAGGGAATTTTAACTAAATTGGCATTGTTAAGACCAAAAACATAAAGTGGACACTGCCAGTTTATCTTCAACCCATGACTTTTAACAGTCAACAAACACAACTTGAAACAGCTGAGTCTTGCTGTTCTATGAGATGGTGAAGGGATTTCCCCAGTATTTATATATGTATTAGTATTTTCAGTTACATAAGTCTAAATATAAAACTGATCTACAGGTTTAGAAATGGCATTTACCGACTCTGCAAAGCTGAACATTACTGGGACACTTGGCTGGCTCAGTTAGTGGAACATACAACTCTTGATCTCTGGGTTGTGGGTTTGAGCCCCATGTTCGGTGTATAGATTACGTAAAAATAAAATCTTAAAAAAAAAGCTGAACATTACTAATCAATTGTACTCAAATCTCTGGAAGGGGAAAATAGTGACAGCACTTGCTGAACAAGTATTACTATCAAAGTTCAAAAAGCTGATCCTATTCATTTAACCACAACCTAATCTTATTTAAATCAAGACTGTCCAAAAGAAATATTCTATCAGCCATTCATAACCTGCATTCTGGTATATGATATCAACTTAAATATAGTACACATAAAAATACATGAGACATTTTTATTTCATAATAAAGTGGTGGCCAATCATTACTCCTTAGTAGCTTTTTGAGATAAGTCTACCCTTTCTCCTGTCTTGACCGCACGAAGATAAATTTTGTCCCAGGGATGTACTTCTTGGGATTATACAAATACTCCATCAGTGTCCCCTCTCCCCAGGTGATGCCTTTGTTCTATTTATTTATTATTTTACTTAACTGAGAGGGAGAGAGCTCTCTCACAAAGAGGGCGTGCAGAGAGAGAGGGACAAGCAGATTCCCTGCTGAGCTCACAGAGCTGGATCCCCTGACCCTAATATCATGACCTGAGCCAAAGTCAGACACTCAACTGATTGAGCCACCCAGGTGCCCTGATACCTCTGTTCTTGTTAGCATAATTTTAAGAAAATCCAGGGACCTGACCTGCCTTTCGCTCAAATAGACCATGGAGATTTGGCCTACTCTTATTTTTGCCTTGCGCCCCTTTTTGGCAGTATGGCACTGGGCACACTTCTGAACAAAAATCTTGCCCTTTTCAACACTGCCCATTTTTAATTTTTAATTTTTTTTAAAAAAGATTTTATTTATTTGACAGACAAAGATCACAAGTAGGCAAAGACACAGGCAGAGAGAGAGAGGGGTAAGCAGGCTCCCTGCCGAGCAGAGAGCCTGATGCAGGGCTCTATCTCAGGACGCTGGGATCATGACCCAAGCCAAAGGCAGAGGCTTTAACCCACTGAGCCACCCAGGTGCCCCAACACTGACCTTTTTTTTTTTTTAAAGATTTATTTATTTGACAGACAGAAATCACAAGGAGGCGGAGAGGCAGGCAGAGAGAGAGGAGGAAGCAGGCTCCCTGCTGAGCAGAGAGCCCGATGCGGGGCTCTTGATCCCAGGACCCTGAGATCATGACCCAAGCTGAAAGCAGAGACTTTAACCCACTGAGCCACCCAGGCGCCCCCACTCCCCATTTTTAAATCGCCCTTCCATTGCATGAAAAATGAAGGTGACTGGTGGTAAGCCAGATGTCCCACTCTTTGAAGTGCAAACACTTTTTTTTCTTTTTAAAGATTTTATTTATTTGAAAGAGAAAGAGGACAAGCAGGGACAAGGGGCAAAGGGAGAGGGAGAAGCAGGCTCCCCGGTGAGCCTGGAGCCGGAAGTGGGGTTTGATCCCAGGACCCTGGGATCATGTCCTGAGCCTAAGGCAGACGCACAATGACTGAGCCACCCTGGTGCCCCTGTACTGCATTGTTGAGAAAAATCTGTGTTCACATCCTTCATCAGTTTATATATTAGTTTTTGTTATAAAACTGAAAGAGCTATTTGATTCGATTCCACTCAACACTGGTTTACTTTTTAAAAAATTTTTAATTAATTAATCAATTAATTTTTAAGATTTTATTTATCCATTTGTGAGAGAGAGAGTGAGAGAGAGCATGAGAGGGGAGAAGGTTAGAGGGAGAAGCAGACACTCTGTGGAGCTGGGAACCTGATGTGGCACTTGATCCTGGGACTCCGGGATCTTGGCCTGAACTGAAGGCAGTTGGTTAACCAACTGAGCTACCTAGGCGCCCAACACTGGTTACTTTTAAAAAGTATTTGACTTGTAACTCATGAAGCAGTCTTCAGTTAGTTTTGGTAAAAGATGTGGCTATAGTCATCAGGCCCAAATTGTTATCCATGTATACTAGCACCATGATTAAATATTTTTTGCTTGATAAATTTTGAATTAAAATTTCAGTTCTTAAACTTCAAAAACTATTAAAAGGAAAGAAGAGTGAAGTGCTTTTTTTTTTTTTTTATGCTTACCAAGAGGAGGCAAACCTTAGGTTGAGAATTTTCTATCTCTACAGTCCTAATACATGTACTAGAGTTTGTTTCTTGGAACTGAGGTACAAAACAAATTTGGTAAGTGTAAAATGGAAAGAACGCTGGATTAAATATGAGAAGACTTGCATTCTATACTTCAATCTGCCTCAAACTCAATTAGCTACCCAAGACTAGTCCTTTAACCTCCCATTGATGAATTTTTCCATCTGTTCTATCTGTACCCTCCTCAAAAACCTCCAGTAATTCCCCCATCTCAGGGTGTAAGGCAGTATGTCCTTAAAAGTACTTTCAAGGTCTAACAGGAATCGTCTCCCAAATTCCTTATTATTCTTTGGTTCACTGGGCTCCAGGCACAGTGATCTTGAAAACACCAAACTGCCTTTCTTTCAGATATCCACAGTGCTTTGCCATTCGCCTCCTCCAAGTTCTCACTCTAATGTCATTTTCTGAGACCCTCTCTGAAATGGAACCACTCTTTCCCTGCCACTCCCCACCTCTGTAAAGCCCATATCACCATCTGATATCAACTTTTTTACCGTCTCCTCTACCTGAATGTTAAGTCTTGAAAGCTATATCCACAGAACCTAAGAACAATGCCTGGAACATAGTGGCTATTCAGTAAATATTTGATGAACGAATAACCTAACCTGCAAAACGAGGTTACCACGGCTGACATATCATCCAACAATAAGGCGAAGCCGTCTGCCTCCTCTTAACTGTGGGCTGACTTAACGCCCAGACTCTTGGCACTATCTGTCCGGAGAAGCCCAGCGTTGTCCTCTGGGCGGGGGTACTCACTTTGGGAGAGCCTGAGGTTGCGACCGCCTCGGGGTCTCCTTCCTCGTGGACCAGGTCGACCAGCTGGAAACCTGCGTCCTCCGAGGCTTCTGCGTTTCCCGGTGCGTCTTCGGACTCTAGGCCACCCGAGGGAATCCCGGAGGATCGGCGGCTAGAGATCACCCTGTAGCGGCCCTCCTGCCGCACCTCCTGAGCCGAAGCGCGGAGGTCGCGGCGGATACGCTGCTGGCTGCCCCGGGAAGGGCGCAGTGCGGCTCGAACGAGCGCCTGGACTGGCTCCTCCTGGAAGGTGGTAGGGGAGGGAAGTCGGCGTAAGCAGGAGGTTCGTCAAGGAGTCAGGGATACAATTTCGTCCCAGCAGCGCCCTACGATCCCCTTCAAACACCGGCTCCATCCCGCCCAATACCTGGGAGCGCACGGTGGCCACCAATTGGAAGACATTATTCTCGGGCTCCCTCTCCAGATCCCCGGGGGGTGTCTTTTGGGTCTCCGACTCAACGGCGCCGCTCCGGAGACGTTTACAAGAGATGACTAGGGCTTCAGCAGGCTCTGCGCTGCGCTTCCGCTTCACGCGAAGTACTGCAGTCCTGCCGGCCTCCATAGCGGCTGTCGCGGAGCACTGTGGGAACGCGTGGGGTGAGATGGGAGAGCCTTCAAGTTCCGCTTCCGGACCACGCTCCCGGCACGCCCAGCGGGCACTGGGAGGTCCAGCCCTTTTTCGCCAGCCGCGGGCAGGGGGAGGTGGCGGCGGAAGTGGACGGAACGGTTCCCGCGGCGGGTGAGGCCCTGGGCGGGTTGGGAAGGTGGGGTAGCAATAGAGTCCTGGGTGCAGCCGTCATCTGTTGTCAGCCCGAAGGTTCGGGCTGACGGTCCTGGCTTGGGCGTATTGGGCCGCCGGAGTATGTGTCTTCCGAATTCTCGAGGACCTTTCTACAGTACGTATGGGACGGCTTGGAGCCCCTGGGCTGGCGAGAGAACTGGGATACGGTTTTGTCAGGTTACCTCCACGGAGACCTAGATTATAGTTCTTGGTGCCACCTCTCAGCGACAGAGACTCGAACCACAGTCATATGGAGCTCCAGCTGTCGCACCCGTAGCTGGGCCACGTTTCTCTCATTCAGGGAGCTGCTAATGGGCTCAATTTTCTCAGTCACTTTATCGAGTTGTCCATTTACCGGTCCATTCACCACATGCTGGCCAGAGCGGCCCTGTAAAAACGTACATCTGACGTGAATATTTTTGTGCTTAAAACTTTGGAGTGGCGCATGGGACGCCTGGGTGGCTCAGTTGGTTAAGCGGCTGCCTTCGGCTCAGATCATGATCCCAGTGTCCTGGGATCGAGTCCCACATCGGGCTCCTTGCTTGGCAGGGAACCTGCTTCTCCCTCTGCCTCTGCCTGCCTCTCTGTCTGCCTGTGCTCGCTCGCTCTCTCTCCCTCTGTCCCTGACAAATAAATAAATAAAATCTTTAAAAAAAAAAAAAAAAAAAAAAAACTTTGGAGTGGCGCGTGGTGCATGTCGAACAAAATCCAGACACCTTTCCGAAGCCAGTTGGCCCAGTGTGATTGCAGAAGCCCACAGGTACTCTATTTTACTTAAGCTCAAAGTGTTTCAGTCAGCCAAGCTTTTGTCAGTTTTTGCTTATGTTCTTAGTTCTTTATTCCCATAGGGAATAAGCGTTAGGGGAAAAGTAGGGGTAAAGTTTCCAGAGGCAGAAGCACTACTCTTCCATCACTGTTAACTTATCTTGCATGTCTCAACTTAAATGTCACCTTCCTCAATCTTTCCATAGCCTTGTTATTCTTTTTTAATAGCATCCTTCAAATTTCCTTTCTTGCACCCACACAGTCTGTGGTTGTTTATACTGTCTCTCCCTCATTAAAATTGAATCTCTTGGAGGACAAAGGTCTCGTTTTTTTGGTTATGGGAGTCCTCCAGTCCCTAATGCGGTGTTTGGCATTATGTAAATTTTACTAAAATTTGAATGAATGAACCAAATACCTGTTCTGAAATCTGACTGGTAACTCACTCAGGGCTTGGCAGGGTGGTTTTCATTCCCTCCTTATAAACCATCATATGAGTTCACAGGTTTTGGAGAAGGGGGGGCTCTGTCAAAATATCTCTTGAATCTGGAGTGTGGCTCCTTTTGGGAGAAAGACAGTTGTGATAATAAATGAGGGCATTTCTCTGTAGAAGATGTGTGGTTCTCACCCAGAGAGGTTACAGGACATGCTTCCCATCTGCAAGCATTTATTTACATTTATATAAAACCAGTAACTTCTCTACGGTATTGAAAAAAACCTGTAGTCCTTCAGGCTTTACGGAATACTACAAGGAATACTACACTGTTAACCCTTAAATGGCTTCAGAATTGATCCCATGTGGCCCACAGGATAAGGGTTTCAGGACTCTCTACAGCATGTACCCCACTGACATGTTTGACTCCCTGTTCAGTTTTATTTCAGCTAAACTGGTTTATTCACTGTGCCTGACTGTCTGAGTCTTTCTAATCTATTAAGTGCTCTCTCCCACCCATGCCTGCCTAAATCCTAGCCATCTTTTCAGTCTTCCCTGAGCATTCAGCCAGATGTGACCATTTCTCTCTACTGCAGCATTTTTTGGACAGTTTCTAAAGCACATTATGGATTCTGATAGTTGTATTCTTTTTTTTTTTTTAATTAGCATAGAAGATGTTCACAGCTGATTCTAGCAAAGCTTTTTATTTATTTTTTTAAAAATTTTTGAAAAGATTTTATTCATCCATTCAACAGAGAGATAGAGAGCACAAATAGGCAGAGAGGCAGGCAGAGGGACAGTGAGATCCAGGCTCTCTGCTGAGCAGGGAGCCCGACACAGGGCCCCATCCCAGAATCCTGGGATCATGACCTGAGCTGAAGGCAGCCGCTCAATTGATTGAGCCACCCAGGTGCCCCAGCAAAGCTTTTTAACCTATAGGTTGCAAACCACCAATTACAAAATCAGTTTAGTGGATTATGTTCAATTTTTTTTAAAGGTTTTATTTATTTATTTATTTATATTTTTAAAAAGATTTTATTTATTTAACAGAGAGAGAGAGATCATAAGTAGGCGGAGCAGCAGGCAGAGATGGGGTTGGGGAGGCAGGCTCCTTGCTGAGCAGCAAGCCCGATGTGGGGCTCTCGATCCCATGACCCTGAGATCATGACCTGAGCCGAAGGCAGAGACTTAACCCATGGAGCCACCCAGGCACCCCTAAAGGTTTTATTTATTTATTTGAGTGAAAGACAGAACTGGCAACAGAGATAGCAACAGAGCACAAGCAGGGCGGAGGGAGAAACAGGCTCTCTGTTGAGCAGGGAGCCTGATATGGGGCTTGATCCCAGGACTCTGGGATCGTGACCTGACCTGAAGGTTGACACTTAACCAGGTGACCCAGGCACCCCAGATCATGATCAGTTTTAAAGAAGAAAATGTTTAGGGGTGCCTGGGTGGCTCAGTGGGTTAAAGCCTCTGCCTTTGGCTCAGGTCATGATCTCAGTCAGGGTCCTGGGATCGAGTCCTGCATCAGGCTCTCTGCTCAGCAGGGAGCTTGCTTCCTCCTCTCTCTCTGCCTTCCTCTCTGCCTACTTGTGATTTCTGTCTGTCAAATAAATAAATAAATAAAATCTTAAAAAAAAAAACTTATTAAAAAAAAAAGAAAATGTTTAAAAGAAAAATGAAGTAGAGTAGAATATATCAGAGGGCCTTGCTGACAGGAAGACTAAATACTGTTTATTGAAAGCTTATGTTTATGTGTGTGTATTGTATCTTGATGTAAGCCATTTCTTACTGAGCTTGCCACAAAGTTTGAGAGCCACTAGATGAGAGGGTGGATACCCTGAGATTTTAGAAGTAGGGTTTCACCAAAGGATAAATTGACTACTTGAATCAGACCGCTGACTGCCTGAGTCTTTTCAGAAAAGATTTTTCCCCATCCTCTTTTGTTAAGAATTCAGTGTTTCGGGTGTCTGAGTGGCTCAGTTGATTTAAGTGTCAGACTCTTGATTTCAGCTCGGGTCATGATCTCAGGGTCGTGAGATTGAACCCCTGTGTCAGACTCCGAGCTCAGTGTTGGGTCTGTTTGAGATTCTCTCTCCCTCTCCCCTTACCCGTCCCCCTGTGCAGGGCTCTCTTTCTAAGTAAATAATATATTTAAAAAGAAAAAAAAAGAGGGGCACCTGGGTGGCTCAGTTTTTGGGCATCTGCCTTCTGCTCAGGCCATGATCCCAGGGTGCTGCGATCGGGCTCCACATTGGGCTCCCTGCTCAGTAGGAAGCCTGCTTCTCCCTCCCCCATATCCCCTGCTTGTGTTGATTCTCTCGCTGTGTCTCTGTCAAATAAATAAATAAAAATAATAATAATAAAAAGAATTCAGTGTTAAGTTAGTCTAGATAACATCAAAAGAAAGGCCATAATTCTGGCCAGTAAAGCACCTTAGGGACATTTTAGTGATCTACAAAGTAGTCATTCTTTCTGAGGTTTCCTAAAGATAGATCAGTGTTTAACGGGAAATGGAGGGAAGTGTGGAACACTTGATGTTTCTGAAGGTAAGAGGCAGGGTGCTGGAAGAACCCATACTGACTGAGAGGTGCCTTCAGACTTTGAGTGGTGGTGTTTCTCTGTCAGAAATAGATCTCTGCGGAAAAAGGGTTTAAGACGTGAATCTGCCAACATTTATTTGAAGGATATTTTTTAGATGAAAAAATTTTTTTAAATTTTTATTTCTTTAGGGACACCTGGGTGGCTCAGTTGGTTAGCAGCTATCTTCAGCTCAGGTCATGATCCCAGGATCCTGGCATCAAGCCCCACATCAAACTCCCAGCTCAGTAGGGAGTTTGTTTTTCCTTCTCCTTCTGCCTTTCTGCTTGTCTATCTCTCTCTAATAAATAAATAAAATCTTAAATTTTTAAAAAAATTTCTTTAATCTCTATACCCATCGTGGAGCTTCAGCTCAAGACCCTGAGATCCAGAGTTGCACAGTGTAAAGACAGCCAGGCAGGCACCCCAGATGAAGAATTTTTTTAAATCGCTTTTCAAATTAAATATTGAGTAGTTAAAAGTAATCATTATTAAAAAATGGTAAGGCATAAAGAATGACAGTATCATGAGCCTCTTTAATCCTACCACCCATTTATAGAAGAAACAATGCTATTTTGAACTCCTCTGTGTGGCCCTCCTTGATCCCAGCCTTTTCCCTTCCTTTTTATTATTTACTTATTTATTTATTTATTTTAAAGATTATTTATTTATTTGGCAGAGAGCAAAAGTAGGTGGGGGGGGAGCAGGCTTCCCGCTGAGCAGAGAGCCCATGCGGGGCTTGATCCCAGGACCCTGAGATCATGACCTAAGCCGAAGGCAGAGGCTTAACCCACTGAGCCACCCAGGCGTCCCTTCCCTTCCCTTTTAAGGATAATCACTGTCCTCGTTCCTTGCTATTCTTTTTAGTGCTATCCCTGAAGAATATATTGTTCTTGTTTTGCATAATTATAAAATTACATAAATGTAATCACACAGTATGTCTTCTGTGATTTGCTTATTTTTTGACTTAGCGTATTTCTGGGATTATCTATGTTTAATTGCTATGATTTATTTGGT